GCTCCTGAAAATGCAGCCTTTGGAGTCAGAGGCCCAAGGTTCTCGCGTCAGATCTGAGGAGTCACTAGCGAGGAAGGGACTTGGCTGTGGTTTATTAAGCTTGTCTCGGGCCTGCTCTGGGTGGTGCACACAGGTGGTGTCATGCCATCCTGACAGGTAGGTGGTATAATCCTATTTCTCAGATGAGGAGACTCAGACGCAGGAGGAATTTGTCTGTGACCACACAGGGGGTGCAGGGCAGGAACCCTGTCAGAATCCCGGCCTCCCTGGGTGGGTGGGGGCCTGGCTGGGCTCGTAGGGTGGGAAGCACCGTTGAGCTGAAGTGGTGTCCTGGGTCTGCTGTTGGTCAAATGGTCAGTGATGGAGGTTGGGTGTGGAGGAAATGGAACAGGGCTGCCCAGGAAACCCGTGTGCACCCTGGGGCAAGATTCAGAATTCCCCATTGGAATTCAGAATTCCAGTCTTGCTCCGCCTTCCACTGCCCCCTCCCGTCACTCATCCCCCCTGAATTTTCTGGGTGCTGACTGAGTTCTGAGCACTGTACCTGGCTCTGGCGGACACACGACCTCAGCCCTGCCCTCCGTTCGGTCACACAGGCAACGGACATTCACCGAGTGCCTGCAGTGTGTCCTGCCCTAGGGCCTCAGCGGCGACCAATGTGGTCCTGCTCCTAGAGAGCTGGAGGACCAGCGGGCAGGTCAGCCGCAAAGGGAACAAGACAGGAAGGGAGGGGCAGTCGGGGTCTGGAGGCAGAAGGGGAGAGAGGCAGGTTGGGGGGCTGTCATGGCCCCTCCTTGTGGTTAGGGACTGTATCCAGAGGGCAATAGGGGCCCCGAGAAGGTCTGGGGCAGGAGTGGGGCGGGCAGCATGTGCGTAGACTGGAGGGTGGGCTGGGTCAGGCATGGGTGAAGGAGTCCATTGGTCTGGGACTTGAGCAGGTACAGCCGATATGGACTCCAGGACCCCCTGGGAGGTAGACTGGGCTGGACTCTGCCATCTGATTCATGTCCCTGGGGGCAGTGGTGGCTTTCTCAGAGCCAAGAAGCATCGTGGTTTGAGGCGAGGACCTTGGCCATGTGAGGTGAGATGCCAAGGCAGCCAAGGCTGGTATGGGGCCAGAGCAGCAGGCCTGGCAGGCAGCCCCTGCGAGGGTGATGGGGAGCAGAAGCCATGCTCCCCTCTCCCACGCACGGCTAAGCCCCATCAGTGGGCCAGGGCGCCGTGCCAGGGGCATGGATGACAGAGCCTTGCCCTCGGGGAGCAGTTGAGTGGGCAGAAACACCTGTAGACAGGTCATCCCAGCTGAGCCCCAGGCTCTGCACCATCCGCTGAGTAAGACTGCACGGGACCGCCACACACCTCATCAGGGTGACATTGGCAAGGTGTATGTGGGTGTCAAGAATGTCGCTTCAACCACCTCCCTCCCCACCACTGACCCGTCCTGCCTGCTGAGTGACTGCCCAGAGAGGAATGTGGAGTGGTCCATGGGGAACACCCCTTCTCCAGGACAGGCCACCAGGAGCCCAGGGGCAGGGTGGAGATGAAAACCAGGTGTCCTGGGACCCAGCCCCTCAGGCCTGTCCCCACGTCCTAGCTCCTAGCGTCCACTACCAGCAGAGCAGCCGCCCCTCCTGAGAGGCTCCTCACAGCTGCTAGCCTCCGCCATCACCACACCCCTTAGGCTAACAGAAAACAGATCTGATTTCAGACCAGGCCAAGGGAGGGGCTCAGATGGGCCCAAGGGGAACAAAAGGCCTTGAAGGGCTGGACCAGGGTGGGGACCAAGATGAGGAGGAAGGGGAGGAAGGACCCCTCTACCATATCAAATGAGAGTCATGTGTGCACCCAGGCTCCTGCTCCTCTGCGTCCCCTGCCCCAGGCAGGGCTGCTGACCTGGCAGGGAATGACAGCAGTGAGGGACAGGGAGTGCCCAGCTAGCAGTCCCTAAGGGTGCAAAGCCCCGATGGGTGCACGGGGCTGTGCTGAGCTGGCACTAACCCTGATCCTGCCTAATCCCTTGATGGGCTGTGGGGAAGGTGCCGGCCTCAGTTACAGAGACAGATGGGCTCTCGAGGTGGAAGGGTGCAGTCCCCGCCCCAGGCCACCCGGTCAAGAGGCAGCATCTGCCTCCAGAGTCATCAATGATGGTTCTTTATGGCTGGAATTAATGAGTACTAATTAATGCCGTCATCCTGCGGGGCCGGTGCTTTTTACATGCCACCTCAGGTAATGCGCACCACCATGTGAGGTTCTGGCGTTATCAGCCTCCTTTTACAAGTGAAGAAACTGAGGATCAGAGAGATTTGAGAACTTACCCAGGGTTCAAAGCCAAGAAGCAGTTGAGAGATTTGAACCCAGGCAGTATGGCCCAGAGTCCACACTTAGAACACAGCAAATGAAAGAGAAGCAGGTATTTGGGGAGGGGGAGGGCCTGCTGTTCCTGTCCCTCATGGTGGCCCTACTAGCTCCAGGGTCTTCCTGGGGTCGTCAAATATAATCTGAGTTCAAATTTCAGATAAACAATGAACAATTTGGGACGTACTTACACTAGACAATTGTGTGTTGTTTATCTGAAATTTGCCCTTACCTGGTGTCCTGAATTTATCTGGCAATCCCATGTTCCCAGAGCCCTGTGCGTGCCTGGCCCCGATGCCCCGCCCCTACTCCTAGTCCTCCCAGCAGGCAGAGGTTTGAGCGGGCAGAGTCCTGTCCCCTGCCCTCCCAGCCTGCACACCGCCAAGAGCCCCTGGGCAAGGTGGCTCCCGATGGCCTACCCATGTCTCCTGCAGGGTGAGTGGGGCTGCCGTGGGTGGGGCTGGTGGGAGGGGGCCTTAGAAGGGCCTCCAGCCCTCCTCAGCCCCTGCCGTGGGTTGGGGAGTGGGCCTGGACAGGCCTGAGGCTAAGCAGGGGCATGCCAGACAGGCCGGAGCTCTGGCAGGCCCTGTAGTCCCACTCACCTCTGCCCCTTCCCCTCACCTAACCTCTGGCCCAAGCCGGGCTCCACGCCCTTCTGGCCTGCAGAGAGGGTGCCGCTGCTCTCACTGAGTGGGCGTGGGGCCAGGGGAAGCACCGCCTGTCTCTCCTGATTTTGTTGATTCTCCAAGGAATGTTATGGACCCTGGTGCTGAGCCCTCGGGCTCCAACCCAGGGTGTGGCAGCCAGATGGCCCATGGGGATGGCCTGTACTGAGCTTGAGGCACCTGCCGGCTAAAGGATCAGGGAGGAAGATGGTCCTGCGCCCTCTCCCAGCCCCCCTGGCCCACCAGAATAGCGACCTTCCCCTCCTCCTGCTGGGCCTTGGCTCTGCACATCACATTCCAGCCG